CACCACTTGCACAAAAGACAAAACATATGGCGACATATAGTTCCATGTTCTAGCAGAAGATTCATTCCTCTCTTTCTTTTGTTTTCTTTTGTTTCATTTTCTTTTTTTCAGTTTTTGTTTCTTTCTCCTACGAGCAGTGGCCCTAAGGGCCTTGCACCACTTGCACAAAAGACAAAACATATGGCGGGTATGATTCCATGTTTTAGCAGAAGATTCATTCTACTTTTGCACGTGAGTAGTGGAGGGACGTGGTGAGTTGGCCTTCTACTGCCCAGAAACTCGCGTGCTCAATGGTCCCAGAACTCCTGAAACACGGACCTTAATGTGAAGCAACAGCATATATACTCGGCGTGCCATGGCTTTGTTATGAGCATTATCTCGTTCACACTGAGGTAGTCGCAACATGAGATGTGCAAGGGCTTCTCAAACAGCCCCTCGGGGTTTTGAAAAGAAAAATTAAGGAGCTATTTGATTCCCCTACCCTCCGAACCCCACCTCTCTGACGACTGTATCCCCGACACCCAACCCCCGCTGACCTCCGCACCCACGACCTCCGCAACCCCCGACCCCGGTACCCCGAGCTCTGCACCCCCGACCCTCGACCCCGCCGACCCCCGCCTCCAGTAAACCCGATCCCCTCCACAGGTGGCAGCCACCCCCCGGGGGGGGGGGAAAGGTCCCCTGATTTCTGGAGAAAACAGAAATTGCCAGGGGATGTGTGGCGTCGGTGCGTACCGTCCGATATATATATATATATTTTTTTTTTTGATTTTTTTATTATTTATTTTATTTTGTTTATTTATTTGTTTTTCCGGGGCTGGGTGTGCCGACACCTGACCCCCGGGACACCCGCCGGGGCCCCAGGCCCGGGGGTTGCTCATGACTAGTGTCGGCGGGAGACGGAAAGCCGGCACTTGCTCATGTGCGGATGCTGGCGGAATATCCGAGAGTAAGCACATCACGCACCCACAAGCGCGGAGACCGGCGGACTTAAACAACCAGCAGATAGAAGGGTGGTTTATCTTCTCGGCAGGGGTTGTTTGGTCTGCTGGTAACCGCACTTGTATTGCGGAAGGGTGACGACGTCAGTCTCTGTGTGCCGGTCGCGGATGAAAGTCCGCCGGAATCCATACTTAACCATGTGCCAGCTCTCCTCATGTCGTCGACAATGGTAGTGCGGATACCGGCGGACTACAACGACATGTCCTGCCAACGAAAGAATAGCACACTCCAGACGACGCGGACAAGGCAGGTGTGTCGTACCGAAAGGACCCAATGTTGTAGTCCGCCGATATCCGCACTTGCTGTGTCGAGGCCAACACCGGTTGATCTGTATGTGCCCCTCAGGGCTCGAATTTTGGCGCAGCGAGAACTGCGCCAGTGTCGACAATCTTCTTCTGTGGCCGCACAAACCTCTGTCTTCGCTACCGTCCATGGGAAGGCGGAACTTGTCCTCGCGTCAACAACAGGATGGCTGACTGACATCGTTGGCACTCTAGAGACTTTAGCGTGCAGACGTGGCGAAGATCATTAACTCTTACCAGCCGGTTTCTCCCTCCGTTCCTTCATCACCGCGAGAGGCTGAGCGACCACCCTGCTTTCTTTCGGGGACGTTAGATGTTGGCAGTCGGCAACCCTGCCACCCACTGCGCCAGGGAAGGTGTCTGCTAGTGTTGGAGAGCAGGGCGACGTGTCCTCCAAGTCGGCGCCCAAGGAATGATCGGTAACGACGCGCCCGACGGTTTTTGTAGGCGGGGACGGAGTTGATATGGCCTGTTGTTCGCGGAGTTTGCAATCAGTGACGTCGTTGACGTCCATTCGACGATTCGTTTTTGTCTGGCCCACTGCCATGGCGACCTCGTCGCACACGTCCCCGAGATGCACTGCCGGCGCCAGCGGGTGCACGTCACAGGCATCCAGGTCTGCGGAAAGGCCAATGGCCACCTGAGTCTCCATTTCCATCGTCGTCGCTTCGTCGTCGACATCACCTCCGCGTTGCATCGTGTAGAAGTGTCCGAACGAGTCAGAAGACTCACCGCAGCCAGCATCTTCTCCACCCTCCGGCCGTTCGTCCTCCCCTCCCGCTCCACCACCTTCCCCAGCAAGTTCGGATACCGGCGGAGTTCAAATTACAGAGCACAGACGGCGCCCCGCTATCCAACCGTGCATTGAACTCTGCAGGCTGCCCGTCTCCGACAGCCGACGCGGTCCCCTGCCGCGTAGGAAAGTCGTCGGACGGCGCACCGGACGAAACCGAAGTGCGGATTCCGGCGGACTTCGTTTTGGCACCCGTTTTCGACACTTCTGCTCCTGTAGCGCTGCGCAGGACGGGCTCCCCATCGTGCACCTCAGGAGGCTTCGTCGGGATAGCGGCGGACTTGTACTCGACGTCGGTGATCGGAACACCGACACTTGAGCCTCTCCCGGTGCCAACGGAAGCTGCAAAATCAGTTGTCGAGGGGAAGGCCGACCAATGTGTGGTGGATGCAGCGCGGACGCCGACGGGCTTCGCAGCGTCCAAAGGCGGCGGCTCCACGTTCTGAGAAGTTTGGATGTCGGCGAACTTAGCCGATTTGCTGGCCCCGACAGTCGTCTTGTCAGCAACGTTCAACAACCCAACCTGGTCGCCGCTTTCCAATGTTCTGCCCTGGTCGTGAGTGCCAACCGATCCCCGTGACGCGACGCCCTCTCCTGTCCCCTTGCCACTTCCCCCACCCCCTCCCCCGCCCGGAGGGCCGGGAGGTCCCCCTCCCGCACTCCCCTGCGACCCCGTCGTAGGGGGGACCTTCCAGTCCACGCTTCCCTTCCAAGGGCTCGTATCGAAGTCGTAAAACTCGTCCGAGAGTTCCAACCACCCCTTGTCTTGAAGCTCCAGAAACAAACGATCAGCGTGTTTAACGACGGCCGGGTCGGTGGCCTGGAAACGGGGGCTCTCTAACGCCACTTTATCCGCCACACCACTGCTTGCAAGTTGCAAGTACTCGGACTTGGGAAGGCGCGAGCATGGCTCCCACTGCCCAACCGAGTCCACGACGGCCATGATCCACTCCCCTTCGCGGATTGCAGGTTGGATCGTTCCCGGATGCCAAATCATGTCGTGACCCCAGTCCGCTTCACTGGAACGAGTGTGGTCGTGCCCTTCAAAGTGAATGGACTCATCCTTCCAAGAAGGATCTTCCGGCGGGACCGCACTCCCTGGACGCAAGCGAGGCGGGGCAACAGTACGAGGTGTGAGTTTCGCCAACAGCTTGCTGGGGGTCTTGCCGGGGGTGGACCTGCGAATGGGCGTCTGGATTGGCCTGGCTTGACGATGCACCTGCCGTCGAGGAGCCCGGGGGTGGAAGAAAAGGAGCAGGGAGGTAATTCAGTGCGATTTCCTCGGTGTCGCTATCCTCTTCCGGAACATTCGTGTCGAAAATGACTCCGGTCGTTGCCTCTTCGTCCGTGTCAATCAATGCACTGTAACTCGCGACCATGAGCTCCTGCTCCAACTCGACAAAGTACAAACACTCCAGCCGGTCCAGGAAGTTCTTCGCATTCAAACGCGAGGCGCTGTGGTAGTTGTCCAGCAACGCCAGCATGTGCTCCTTGCGTCGAATATACTCAGGGTCGCTGTCCCTTCTGGGCCGCGTCTCCAAGAAGAGGAACTCGTATATCCTGTTCCTTTTCCTCTCGCTTAGATTTAAACAAAATGTCAGTGGACGGCTCCCAAGCGCGTCGCGTTTTGTCGGTCCTCGAAATGAACTCGCAGCGGTGGGCTCCCGAGTTGACCGCGCCTTTCAGGAAATCCAACGTGTATTGCAGCAACTCCGAGTTCCCCTCCAACGCGATGACGTTGCGACCGCCCTTCAAAGCCTCCCACACGACTTGCGCGTGCGCCTTCCCTAGAAACATGACACCCTCCCCCTTTTTGCACACGAATTCCAGTAGATGGGCCAACTTCGCGGGGTTCCGTTCCATGTCCTTGTAAACTTTGCGGTCACGGCCAGGTATGACCAGGGGCATTCACAAAGCTCGAACGGCATCTCCGAGACGTCCGTCGGTGTGACTTTGACATGTGCCCCCACAGCAGCAGCATCACCCGCCTCCAACCTTGCGTCGTAAACCACAGACATGTTCTCTCGCAAGTCGTCACCTTTGAAGAGGATGTACATGCGGTCGTTTACTGAGTACAAGTTGTTGCCGACCGCGAAGCTTTTCTTCTGCTGCGGCCTCCTCACCCACTTTCCTGCCATTAGCTTGACAACGGACAAATGGTGCAAACTGGTCATGAAGTAGTAGTCGTGCTCCCGGGGGACGAAAGCAATGACCGTCCAGTGCGAAGGGAACAAATGTTGTAGAAGGGCATTCAAACTCTCGAAAGCTTGCTGTGTCCACTGTGTGATGTCCATAGGCTCGCACAAATCAAGAACGGCAACGTGGCATTTCGTGACCCCAACCGCTTTCTCCAACTCGACGACCTTCATTTGCGCCTCCAGAGGATCGACGCCGAAGGGGGCGATGGATGTCACATCCCCCAAGTCCTGCCACCGAATATGCACCATGCCTTCGGCGAGCGAGACATCCATGCTCTTCGACCTGCTGCCGGTCAGCACGGAAAGGACCTTGTTCTTCCAGTCGATGGACAACTTCTTGTTGAGAACCAGTTTTTCCATCGCCTTGATCGACTTGTCGTCCTCGCAGCCCATGAACGGGGGACAGTCTCTGAACAACGATGAGTCTCCAACGAGCTTCCTGCTTCTGTCCCACAATGCTGCATCCAGTCCCTGGCTTTTGAACTGCACCAAAATCGCCTCTCTTTTCCGCAGGAAGGGATACGAACGCGTCCAATCGGAGTCGGGACGATTCTCATACTTGAACTGGTAGTAGTTCCATAACCGCACCAAGATGTGGTCGCACTTCACCAGATGCACTGCCTCTTGCATCCCCAGCTTCCCTTGCTTTGCCAACGCACAGGAGCCGGTCTGCACCCACACCACCTCGCAGTTGAGAACCTAATTCAGCAGCCGACATTTCTCATTGTCCGTGAGGGCTTCCATGCTTTTCCAGCAATGCGGATCCGGCTCGTTGACTTGGACGAACCAGTCGCCGGATTCCTTTCCTTTTTTTCCTTTCTTTTGAGGCGCTTCGACGGGGATGTTGTAGACGACCTCCTTTCACCCGGTCTTATCATTTTCGATGTGGCTTACACCGGCCTTCACGCCCTTCACCTTCTTCTTCTTCGCGATCCACTTCGCCCCTTCGGGTGCAAGCAGTCTGCCCGTCTCCCATTTCTCGAAAAAATCCATTCCCATTTTCCACGAGGTTTCCCCGGCCATCGCAAACGGGAAATAAGATCGAAGGGCAGCATTCTGCTTCCTTATGCCTTGCTCGGTCTTGTCGTCAGCTAGTGTCCACAAATGATTGTACGGCGTCTTTTGAAGCGCATCTTCACAAAACCGGCGCCAAGACTCCACCTGGGCCTGTTTCCCGCTCGGGTTCCCCATAACAGCTCTGGGGTAACCCTTCTCCTTCCAGCACCACCGGATGTCCTTCATCGAAAGTTACGCTGTCTGGGAGGCGCCTTTAGGTCCTTCTTGTTATCCTCGGCGCTGACCAGAAAATACCCTTCAAAGTCCGCATCGGAGAAGTACACCATTCGCGCAGGCCACCTCTCGAAGTTGTACCTCACCGCCACGTCTGTGCCAAGCAGCGTCCTGGCGGCGACTGCGTTATGCTGGCCGGCACCAGCGTAGTAGTAGTATTGGTCCGCCTGCTCGTCCTTCCAGTCCTCGGGCTTCAGACGCTGTGCACGCACCCACAACTTCGGTTTCTCCAGCCCCAACGACGCCAGCTTCAGTGTGGGCAGCTCGTAAGTCTTCGAGGCCTACGAGTAGGCCGTCGTTATCGCGTCGATGATCAGCTGTGTATGCACCGGATCCAAGGAACGCTGGTTGTGCCCCGCTTTCCACTTCCCGATGTCAACCACTTGCGATGGGTTAACGGGTATCTCGCGCTTTGTGCGCACGCCATCTTTCCATTCGAGGAAATACGCCGCATCGACGTCGGTCGGACCCGTCTGCTGCACAAGGCCGGACAGGGGCTGAATCTGCGCCGAGGATGGGCGTTTGTGACTCGCAGCGGCCACATGCCCCGCCCCTCCCTTCCTTTTTCACCTTGACGTCTGCGGGCCCTTGGTCTTCTATTTTTTTGATGCAGCCGCCGCGTCTCCACATGAATCTCCCCTTCTCTTTTGTGATGACTGTTGTTCACCCTCTTCTCCCCCGGACAAGACGCCAACAGGCCTCCCCCCCGACCCCATTCTGTGACCCCCGGTTGACGTCGAGGGCCGCTCTTGGACCGGTGTTCTTATCTCAACCCCCGAAATGCTCAGCACCCTACGGTCTCCCCCCCTAACCCTCGAATCCGACGTCCTCTCCTCTTCTTCCTCCTCGCTGTCGTCAAAGCGACCACGTTCCTCCCCGCAGTGGAGTTGGAATGAAGCACCGGAACCCAAATCTCCTCCCTCGGACGGAGCACCGCTTGACTCGAACCCGGTGCACATCTACACAGGCTGCAACAGCGCCAGGTCGCATGAGATCTGGCAGGGTTCATCAAGGTGGACGTCTTTCTTTTCCACCAAGTTGAAGAACTCCCTAGCGGAGACAAGACCTTCAGCCGCGAGTTCTGTGTAGAAAGGGGTCCTCAAGGCCCCTGCACCGAACCCTTGGAACAGATCCCACGACAGGGCCGCCCCTTTGGAAGCAGCCACAATG